AGGAAGGAAGGAAGGAAGGAAGGAAGGAAGGAAGGAAGGAAGGTGCCTGACTGCCATGGCTTAGTGGTTGAGCGATGACCTATGATCCAGGAGGTCACAGCTTGATTCCTGGTCAGGGCACATGCCAGGGTTGCGGCTCGATCCCCAGTGGGGGGCGTGCAGGAGGCAGTCGATCAATGACTCTCTCATCATTGATGTTTCTATCTCTCTCTCCCTCTCCCTGAAATAAAAAAAATTTTTTTTTAAGAAAGAAAGAAAGAAGTGAAGGAATTAAGCAAAAAACAAAACCAAAAAATTCAGACACAGACAACAGTCTGGTGATTACCAGAGGGGAAGGGGGCAATGGAGAAGGTAAACAACAACAACTAAAATAACAGTAATCTCTTGGGCACTGGATACTATCACCATTGTTCCCAGAGAGCTAAGGCGACAACTATGTTAAGACTGAAGGTCAGCAGTTCCTCCTTAGGGCTTTGGGACTGAAGTCGCCTGGGACCACGATGGCTCCCCTCACAGTCTGCACACCCTGGCATTGGGCCATGCAGATCCCAGTCCCAAANGTATCACCATAAGCTCTTTTAGTGACTGAGCCTTACAGGCAGCTGGCAGGTGGAGGCAGGTGAAGGCAATTCCCGGGGTGCCTTGGGACTTTTGCTGACCTGCCCCTGGGCTCAGAGCTGGTGGAAGCCAGTCTTGGTGCCCAGCTTGGTCCTTCCCATGCATACCAAGGCCCAATAGAGGAAGCCACAAACTGTGGATCGCTTTATAGCTCCAAATAAGTTTCCCAGAGCCAGTCACAGGCAGCATCTGGCATGACCTGCACCAGGTCCCTCCCAAGAGGTCCCAGAACAGACACACCCAGTGGTGTACAACCAAGACTATTTCACTCAGCAAGGCAATTATTTAAAATTGAAGGAGAAATAAAGAGCTTCCTAGACAAGAAAAAGGTAAAAGTGTTTATTACCTTACCACCAAACCAGTATTACAAGAAATGTTAAAGGGTCTTCTTGAAGATGAAGGAGGGGAAGGGAAAGGAGGCGAGGAGGAGGGTGTTGGAAGACTAGGTGAAAAAATGAAGGGATTAAGTAAAAAAAAAACCCAAAACTTATAAACACAGACAACAGGATGGTGATTATCAGAGGAAAAGGGGTGAGGGTGGGGGAGGGAGAAGAGGGTATAGGGGGGATAAATAGTGATGGAAGGAGACTTGACTTGGGGTGGTGAACACACAATACAGTATACAGGTGATATATTTTAGAATTGTGCACTTGAAACCTATATAATTTTATTAACTAATGTAACTCCAATGAATTCAATAAAAGTGAAAAAAGAAAGAATGAAATTGAGAGCAAGAAGGAGGTGAGGAAGGAAGGAGAGGGAGAGAGGGTAAGAGAGGGAAGGAGGGTGTGGAAGGGGAGAGAGGGGAGGAAAGAAGGAAGGGAAAAAATTTGGTTCACTTAAAGTCCCAACACCTAGGCATAACCACAATCAAAATTTTGGTATATATCCTTCCAGTTATTTTTCTATACTTAGTATTTTGTGCCCTCCCCTTTAGCTAAACAATATCTTGTGATATACTGTAGCACACTCTTCTGAAATTGTCAACTTAAGTGTGTGTTTCTCCCATTAAACTGAGATTTTTGAGGACAGGGTCCAGGTCTCATTCATTTTTGCACCTCCAGTGCCCAGTATAGAGCTGAATCGCGTTTGCTGAGGGAAGTGAGACTTGGATCAGTGGTGAATGAGTCCCCATAGGGTGAAGGGTCCTGGAGCCAGTCTTCTCCCATTCCAGCCTCACTAGCCGACTATGCAGACCACCCTCAAGTGCCACGTCCCAATCCCCCCCAGTTCCCGCATACCCCCATCTCTACTCCTACCCCCAACCACAGCCATCTCCCCTGTACCTTCTTGTCCTGCAGGTCCGTGGAGAGTTCGTAGCTGTCCGAGAGGGCCTTGGAGCGCTTAATCTCCTCCTCCTCCTGCTTCCTCAGGGCAACACTGGCTGGCTGGAGGCGAGCCCGCTGAGCCCAGGGAAGGCCCACCCCAGCAGGGGGACCCCCCATATGGCTGCTGCTGGGGGGCAGCTGGCTCAGCCGGTAGGGGGGTTGGCTCCCAGGACTATCAACCGCTGTGCTCAGGTCACTGCCTGGGGCATCACCCTCCACACTGTGGGGATTAGATAAGATAAGCCAGGATGTGGGAACAAAGGACGCCTGCTGGGCCAGACTGAGTATGTGGACCAAATCCCTTCCGAAACCCCATCCCCCTCAGCTTCCTCACAGTTACAGGGACCCCAATACTCCAAGGCCAGAAAGGAATCCTACCCCCCAAGCTGTCTCCTCGCTGCCCTCACGGTCCCTTGCCTTCAGGTCCCTTTGCCCTACAGCCCGATCTTCATGCCACGTCAGCCTCACCCCTCCCAGCCCCATCCTCCAGT